GTATGCGTGTGCACGGTGCACATACTGCTGTAGCTGTAGTAGCATCGGGGTCCTTGAGTTTATGGTCGCACGGTTAATGGGCTTCTATTTCCCAAGACCAGTAATAAACTGGTGGAAGTGGGGGGAGACGCTGAGGGTAAGCGTATCTGTTTCTGGAGGTCAAACATTATCCACGTTTAATACTCTGCTCATTCTTCAGGGCGGTCACATGAGACTGGAAAGTCACAACAGTGTCACTGCCACTATAAACCCACAATGTGTGTATGTGTGTTTGTGTGTGTGTGTATATGCCTCACGTGAGGTGTCACCATGGAGATCAAGCTGTGGAATGCAGTCAGCAATCCTCACTAAGACGTCTGGGAGTGGTTTGTGTGTCTCATTTGTGTGTGTGTGTGAGAGTCAAAGGTTCATTGCTCTCTAATCACATATCATTGTGGTGGTCTGCTTTCACACCCCTCAGTTTAGCCAATCAAAAGCTGCGTCTGAGTGAATGTCATAGAGACAAGCAGGAAGAGCCTCCCTATCAAAACAATTCACAACATACGTGTCCAACTTCCTCCAACACAACAAAAACACTACATACAGAGAGTCTGTCAGCAGACCGGAGAGACGTGGCTGAGGTTGTAGTGAATGTGTATATGTAGGTCATCGAACAGTATGTCCTCAAAATGAAAAGCAAGTTGACTGAAAGCTCAACCTTTTAAAACCTTGAAGCAGATTCTGTACAATATTTTGTAAGAAAACATCTGATATCAATAATCGCTAATATCACTGATGTTTTTTAGCCGAATGCATCCCCGTTTCCGAAAAGGGCAGATTTCATGTAGGAATGAAACATATTTTTAAGTCGGTTACTGAACTGTAATCCTGGTACATTACAGAAAAATTGAGACGTGAGTTCATTATGCAAATTATGACTTTGAAGTCAAGTCAACTTTATTTAAACAGCACTTTAAACACAAACAAAGTGGATCCAAAGTGCTTTTACAGCACACACACAAAAAAAAGAACAGAAGCAAATGAGAAGAGAGAAACACCAACAAAGACAGTGACAGTATGCGCAATTAAAGGCGATAGAGTAAGAGTGTGTTTTAAGACCATTCTTGAAAATCTCAATGGTGGGGGAGAATAAGATGGCGGGAAGAATTCCAGAGCTTTGGGGCAGCGACAGAGAAAATCCTGGCCCCTTAGTCCTGGATCTCGGGGACAGACAGATCGGATGATCTTAGTTCTCTCATAGTGTGATACGGGGAGAGGAGCTCTCTAATGTAAGAGGGGGCGAGGCCATTTGAAACATCACAAACATCAGACTCTTAAAATGTATCCTGTAGCTAACAGGTCACATAACTTATATAGCTATAGTTTTTAAAGGAAAACAAAAGCATCCACACACTCAAGTCTGTACAAAAATCTTGAAAAAAGCCTTTCTTCAAGGCATAAACAAGTTTATACCTGCCTGTTTATGTCCTGAGGAAAGCCTCTGACCGAAAGCTTGCTTCCATTTTTTCAGGATTTTTGCACAGATTTGAGTGTGTGAATGCTTTTGTCCTTTATTTTGAAAGTTTTATAGCTCCAGCACCTCAACTAAGTTTGATACAGGAGAAGTTATAGTTTTCCTTTTTCTATTTTTTAATGAAAAACATGAAACATGTTTTTTTTAAAAATGTGATACGTGATTTTGTCTGTAAATAACAAAATTTCAATTTCAATAAAAGTAATGAAACACCCATTATATGAAGTTATTAACTTAGGTTCGGGAGCAGGGCCACGCCTCAACCACACTGATTACACACTAATTACCTGCCAAGCCTACTTAAACCTGGCCTACCCATGCTGCTCTGTTTGTCTTAGATTTCGCGACCCACCCTGCCTTTCACTTTATCCATCATCCTCCCTCATACCAACCAACATTCCTTCATCCTCTCTTCCCTTCTCCCTTCGTCTCTTCTTATTCAGTCTGGTGCACACCTCTCCCATGTCTCATTCTAGGTACCGTCTGGGGGACCTGAAAAGATGCCTGAGATGGGACCCCCACACTGAGTCTCCCTCTGCCTGATCTCCAGTTCATCCTCCCAGATCAGCCTAACAGACGACATCCTCTTCCACCTTCACATCCATTCACCAGTCCTCAACAACTAACACCTCCTGAATTACGATTAAACATTTAAACGACATGTTGTTGTGGCATGTGCCTTGCTAGTGAATCTGTCATTAATGATATTTCCTCATGCCTGACAGCAGAGGGTAAGGCAGCTTTACATGTAGATCACTAGGAATCGTTAAGGAGTTTTGCTTTTGGACTCTCCAACCAAAACACTGCTAGTATAAAAGCCCTGATATGGGACCTGTATAATTCCTGCAGTTCTGTGTGCAACAACATCATTTGATCCAGAAAAACCAAGGGAGGGATGTGTAAGTTTCACTTTACGTTATGGGCATTTGTTACTGCTCTCCAAGTTTTCTTTGTCAGCTGAATTCCAGCTGATTCTACACAATCCATCACCCCTGATTCACCCCCACCTCGGGTCAAAAAAATCACACTCATCTGTAAACTGTGAGTGTGTGTAGGAGTGCGTAACATGGCCTCGGGCGAGATTGCGTGATATGAGGACCAGTGAGCGCTGGGAGCCGGAGAAGGAGCTGTGCTTTGACAGAGATTCACGCAGAGATTCGCACAGAGAGGCAGAGCAGCAAAACATTATTTCTCTTTGCAGGTCTCATACTTTTAATATGGACTGCCACATGCCTATTTCATATTTTAGCCTGCCATGTGTCCTCAACACTGACTCTGAAGTTTGTCTCTTTGTCAAAAGACTGCAAATATTTTATTAGTAGTATCATTCATTTTTCAGTGTGTTTGAATGTCCATTAACTTTGTTATATCCTGCAAAAAGCAAAGCAATAAAAGCCCGAGTCTTTTTGACAATGCTGTATTTCAAATCAGTAACAATTAAATTCCACCACATCTTTCTAGTTATGTTTTTTTGGGGTTACATACTTTTGTTAAAGGTACAGTAAGTTATTTTGACAAAAGATAGGGTTTGTGTTTGGTTTAGATGAAGATTTTAGGTTGGGGCAATTTAACCCACTGACACACATTTTCCCCACGTTGTTTTTGACATTAGGGGTTTGGCTTTCAACAACCTTAAAGCTCTTTAGTAGCTTTAAGGTTATATAAGGTTATCTAATGTCTAACCATATCATATGAACTCAGTATCACAAGCCATATGACATAAAAATTCCAAACCACTGACATTTATTTTATGGTGGAATTATTCCATCAAATGAAAATATTCTAGATGACTTGTGTACCATGTTTTTTAGACACAGCTTTAAACAATGTCTGGCTGCACAATGTGGGTTTGTTTTTAAATACTCCATACATAAAGGGGTAAAAGACTTTGAGACAAAGAATATCACTATTTCAAATTTAGGCCCTAATAAGCAGCCCACTTGCCAGAAGAAAACAACATTGTACGTTTCATACATATCATATCAGTGTTTCCAAAGTGACGTGATATATGAACTGATTTTGTCTGGAGATGTGGAGGGGATAGTGGATGGCGTGACACCTCGGCAAGACAGCTGCCAAGCTGCAGATCACTGCACACAACTGTTTGAGACAAACAACACCACCGGCTGTTTTTATGGTGACCCACTTTCCTTTGGTGTTTGTGCCACCAAACATGGCTGTTTTAGGCCAAACATAACCAAGCCTTCACCACAGCGTTGCTGAGAAATGTATAGTTTTAATGTATCTGCTACAAAATAATATAAAAATGTAACATATCAAAAATGTACAACGTGCGAACATTATTTCTGGAGACTGGGTGGAAATAACAAATGAACAGTTGAAGTGTGTGACTAATGAATCTCAGCGTAAGTTAATTCAGGAAGACTTTCTTTATGCTATATCCATTCACAATTCTCTCTCTATCCCACTCCCACCGCTTCCTCCAATCAGCTGACTGTGGGTGTTCCCTCTCCTGGTTAGCCAATCAAACTTTGCCACATTCTCCTTTAGCCATTCATGTTGCTGCTGCCAAACTTTAAATCTGTTCTCCTCTCTGCTCCAGCTGTCATTTAGGCAGAATCAATGCATCCTCCTCCACCCCATTCACCTCCAGTCACCTTATCCAGAGCCCAGGACGAGCTCATTATAAGCCAATTCCTCTTCACATCCAGCTCCTCAGCTCCCTCATCATCTCATCTCATTACCACCACCAGCGTCTAGACTCCATAGAGGGTTCCCTAATCTACTACGTCTTTACCACCCTCCTGGAACTGATGATATCATGATGGGTGGTTTTTTTCCCCTGTCCACACAAAGCACTCTTATTAATAAAATCTCTGTCCAAATTAAAAATTAAAAATCAAAATTGAAACGCTGTAAAGAGCATGCCAAACCAACAGGCAGTGATGTAACCCTAACCTTAAAGCCATGCAAAAAACAAGTAGGAGAGGCTGACCAATCAGAAGCCTGAAAACAAGCTAATACCAAGAGGCGACCTGAAGCAGTGACATCTGTAGTATGTCCTAATGTCTCTGTTTCTCAAAATAGTGGAAGAGTAACTGCACATTTATGTGTAAACATGTACAAAGTCCTGTTAGCAAAGATAGAGCCGGCACTATTTTGACCATGTTTGCCTTTGCATGAAATGTCACCTCATTTGTGATGCCTCAGAAGGGAGATAGCAGCGCACTAAGTTTTCCTTGTACTCACATCGAGTTCTTGAAAATCTCCTCTGTGGATGGAGTTTTGCAAAAAGTCTGTTTTCAGTGACCTAAAAAGCATTTTGTGTGTGGACACGAGGCCAAATCACACAGAATAATCTATGTTTTTACCTTTGTGCATGAGGATTAGGCCAATCAAGAGGCTGTTTTATGGCATCGCCCCTTACGCAAAATAATAAGTTGCATTTTATCAGTGCAGCATCTACATGTATGTGTCTTACTTGTGTAGGTGCATGCATTTGTGAGTCACAGTGAATCTGACTCACCAGGCTTGCCCTCGAAGGCGAGTCCCAGTGTTCCGCTGTAGTCTCTGTTAGTGAGCACATAGGCCAGACAGTAGTCGTTCCAATTGCTCTCAGCAAACAGCCTCAACAGTTTCTCCGGCCCGATGTACAGAGGGCTCAGAGGATCATTTTTTTTCTCCTCTGTCATCACCTGGAGAGAGACAGGCAGATACACTGTTGAATCAAATATCTGAAAGACGAATGAACAACAACACAGTGCTTCACAGCTCCAAGAATTGTACTAATATTGTCTTGTTATATAATTTTGAGGCTGAAAATCTGTCTCTGTTTGACTCTCACTGATAAAAGAAGATATAGCTACAGGCACAATCTGAGACTGATGCATTAACCCAATTATCTCGAGGTGACATGTTTGTGTAGTAAAAATAAATGCTTCAAAGCCAGCGTTACTGGACCTGCATGTGAAGTGCAACACTCTAAGATCTGGAACAACTGTGTCATTGTTTGAGTGAAGGCGCGTCTTACAAAGAGGGTTTTCACTTTGAAGTTGATCAGCTTGATTCCATCGAAGTCCACCTTGTCATAGATGTCATTCACCGCTCGCATGTAGGAGGAAACCTGAGAACAGCATACATCTATGTTAACAAATGCTTAATAAAATCTCCTCCTTCTTTTACAGTAGGTTGAAGGTTGAACTTTATGTAGCCCACACTGCACCTTGAACTAGACCAAACACAAATGAAGAACATGATAAATTCTCCAATAACAGCACATATGCAGCATTTATTAAAAAAAAAAAGAAAAAAGACACAACGAAGGAATAAAACACAAGCAAATTGACAAACACACAATGCCTTTGTCATTTCAATGTGTTCTCTAAAGTCGCAGTACCTAATCTAGCTTGCCTGGTGTATGGGGTATTGCCCATTGTTTCGACGGCTAAAAATTCCGAGGCCCCGTTAGTCTGAAAAATGGCCCATTAGATTGAAAGCCCATTTCTCTGACAGCCAATTATCCCAAAAACACACGCCCCATTTCTGAGAAAATACACACTCCCTGCAGTTACACAACCTGGTCACCAGCAAAAATGTTCACATTGAGGTGGCTGTGGCTCAGGAGTTAGAGCAGGTTGTTCGATCCCTGGGTCCTCCAGTCTGCATGTCAAAGCAAGATACTGAATCCCAAATTGTTTCCGATGGCTGTTTCATCAGTGTTTGAGTGTGTTTAAAACTGGGTTGCAGGTGGCACCTTGTATAGTAGCGTCGGCCACCAGTGTATGAATGTGTGTGTGAATGGGTGAATGTGACTTGTAGTGTAAAAAGTGCTTTGAGTGGCTAGGTGACTAGCAAGGTGCTATATAAGTGTAATCTATTTACCATTGTACGCTATTGTAAATCATGGATACGCTACATTTGTGCATTCATTTGTCATGGATACGTTAACACTTTTGTTAACAACTCTGTAGTGAATATGTGGTTAGGTTTAGGCACAAAAACCTCTTGGTTATTGTTAGGAAAAGATCGCGTCTCTGCTTAAAACACCCACGTTTGGTGATACAGAAGCTGCTGAAAATATAGGGACAGGTAGATGAAAAACACCCAGACTTGTTGGCTGAAATGTCGCTGGGAAATGCCGCAAAGGGACAGTAGGTAGTTGGGGGGAGGGGTCTCAGTCCAATGGGACATTTGTGGGACTAATTGGTCTGTGTAATTTTGGGCTGTTGGAAAAATGGCATTGCACCGGTGTACATTTGAATCTCAGATTTCTATGGAAGTGCACAGACATCACCCCCTTCAGTAAAGGTGAAACACCTCTGTAGTGACAAACTTTGCACAGATACAAGTTAGTATAGTCAAGGTCATATTCTTTAGGAGACATAAACAGAGGAAACAGTGAGTGGACAGGGACTTGAAGCACTTTATCCTCTTGACAACATACTTGAGTCTCTCTGAACTGCCCCACCTATCCGGTACATTATGCAGATTCAGACACAAACATCCTCGACCGAGTTTTGATCACGATTCATAAAAAGACCACGTGAGGTAATCTGTCAAGTGAGGTTATCCACAGAGTGTTTTCGGAGCGGGTGGCACAGAGAGGCACGTGCAAACCAGTCACATGTGACTGTCTCAGTCTATATAGCAGGGTCATGCGCTTACTACTGCTGGGGTTTTCCATAAATGTAAATATTGACACCTTGGACTCTGGAGACACTGAAACCAGGTCAGTGGTGATTGCCAACAACATTTCTATTGACACTCAAAGATCATATCACGGCATCACTTACAGAATATTTTCTCTCTCGGTGCAACAAAGGTCTGGCACCGAACCAGGGACAACATGTATGTGTGTTTAAGATGGAAAGAATCTGAGGAGGTTCAGAGGAGGTGGTGAGAGGATGGACAGCAGGACGAAGGCCAGAGAGAACAATAGTGTGGCCACAAAAAAGAGCTAAGGACAGACTTACTTACTCAATAACTGTCCTTGTTTTGATCACAAAGAGACTTGATTAAAAAAAAGCACAGATGTGGTGCAAACTTGTTCCAGACTGAACCCAGATCAGACGCTGAGCAGATTAATCCAACTTAATGACATAAAATTAAACGTCTGTGATGTTATAATTTCTTATCAAATATGGAATGCACTAATAAAACCTATTTATTGGTTTTAATTTAGGGGGAAGATACAAAGGTGTTTACGTTAAAGTTATGTCACTGGATTCCCACGTCAGTATGTGGCTAAGACATTATCAGGAGAGCATCTCATGTGACCTCTGGCCCCAAAGACGAGCACTTTGTCCAGACAGAGAAACTTCAACACAGACACTTAAATCACTGTTATCTTTCCTATTGCACTGAAGCAATGCAGGCGCGCCAGCATGCAAGCAGCTTTAAACCCAGTGTGGAACTCAAATCTGAGTTCACCACAGGTCAGCCAATGCTAAAACCATGATCGGATTTACCCAGAAAATCAAAAATATGTTCTTTTTCAACAACTTTGCATCTGTAGAATTATTAATTAATTCATTTTCTGGACCTTCTTATCTTGTTGGGGGTCCTGGGGGGCTAGAGCCTATCCCAGAAGCAGGGTACAACCTGGACAGGTCGCCAGACTATCACAGGGCTGACACATAAAGACAGACAACCGTGCTCGCATTTGTACAGACAATTTAGAGTCACCACTTAACCTGCATGTCTTTGGATTGTAGGAGGAACACGGAGCACCAAGAGAAAACCCACACTGACACGGGGAGAGCCTGCAGACTCTGTGCAGAAAGGCTCCACCACCCTGGGGTTCGAACCAGGAACCCTCTTGCTGTGAGGAAACAACGCTAACCACTGCTTCACACAATCACAACCCGTGTCAGCGCAGGTTTTCTCCAGGTACTCCAGCTTCCTCCCACAGTCCAAAGACATGCAGGTTAATTGGTGACTCTAAATTGTCCCTAGGTGTGAGTATGAATGGTTGTCTGTCTCCATGTGTCAGCCCTGTGATAGTCTGGTGACCTGTCCCGGGTGTACCCCGCCTGTTGCCCAGTGTCAGCTGGGATATAGGCTCCAGCCCCCTAACAGGATAAGCAATTACGGAAAATGAAAGAGGAGTACAGAGTGCATTAAACACAAGGGGCAGGTCCTGAAATTTCCAGATCATGTTGTCTTACTATTTTTTTGTACTTTTTATGACAAACATCTACCATGTATGCTTCTGCAGCTCGTCCTCAGCATGGCACATACAGAGTTGTTGTTTCACACTAAAGGGGCTGAAAAACAGGAGGTGACGGGTCAATCATGTGGACTGGTGGCTCTGTGCCAGACCTTTACACCTGGCACTGAAAGCGCAAAATCTTATTAGGCCGAATGTCTGTAATCCATAAGCCACCGTGTTCTCAAAGAGCGACAAAGTTCTCAACCTCCTCCCTACTGCCGCTGTGTGCAACACCACGACAGCTGTGTGCGTCTGTGCAGGCCCTGGCATTTGGTGCTTTATTCAGCCTCGGCCACAACAGCTTGGCCCTTCATTAAGTATTGTTGAATATGTCAACGGTGAATAATGAAGTACTGCAAAGCAGATTGTCTTCCTCTCACTTTCATTCAGTCATTAGATGTTGGTCATTAGATGGAAAAGCGGCCAAAACAAAGCAAAGTTTCAATCATGATTAAAATGCCTGCCTGTGCAGCAAACTGCTCCTTTAATCAGAGATTAACATGGAAATCCTGAAATATTTCACAAGGACATTTGATAGCAGATTGCACACTGCTCATATTACTGTAGTTCCGCTCAGGTAAAACATTTAAATCCAATATTCAGGACCTTAATCTATGTATGTTGAAACATGACAAAATGAGAAACACCATTGATCTAGTGCCAAATGATGCCACCTGCTCATAGTTCCTTTGATTCATCAAGATAAGATTGTAGCACTCAGGTGAACTTTGATTGCAGTACCGTGTACCCAAAATCCAGGACGCCGTATTCAGAGACAGATTTGTAAACAAAGCACGCTCAGCTCGGCCAACAGCCGAGGAAATCCTGTTGTGTTGTGATGCTCCTGCTGGATGTTCCATTACAGTGGAAATGCTCCGGAGTGCATTGTGTTCTCCGAGACATTGGGCAGCTCAGGTATCAGCAGCATCTCGCTGCCTCACTGTGAACTTTGTGTACACGGAAAATAGGGCACAGAACCTGAACTGGAGGTGCAACCAAATCCAGAATGTATGTTGGCATTGTACGTTTCTGCCAACCACAGATACGTGACGCTGGTAGGTAGCGATGCACAATAATATCTGCACATCATCAATACTATCATTGGTTAGAGTTTGGTTAGTCAAGATAAGAGTATGAATGCATAATATGATGTTCATTCCACTACAGAAGAGACTTGATGATCACTAAAATTAGGAAAGGAAAAAGAGGAAATATCAATATCAGTATAGGTTACTGTATACATATCGGCATATCAGGTATCGGCAAAATGTCCAATATCGTGCATCCTTATTTGTAGGTTATTATGTAGTGCAGTGGTTCCCAACAGGTCCAGCCACGAGGTCCAGCTTTCTCCTCAGTCATCAGTTCAAGCTGCACACAATTTGATATATTTGGTGTCATACTTGCATTTGGCCATGTCATAGAGGTAGTTGACTGTCACTTTGAGGTAGCTGCCGTTATTCACTCACTCTGCAGATGCAAACAGCGCTTCAAAATGAAAGGTCTGTGCCAGAAATTCTCTGTACTACAAAACAAAATGTGTTTTTTGCAAACTTGACAAGTTTGCGAGTCAGCTGTGGTCCATTCACAATGGACCGTGATGCACCAGTTGGGAACCACTGATATAGCAGATAACATGAGGTTATGTTTAGGCACAAAAACAGTTATGAAAAGATCATGTTTTGGCCTAAAAAAAACTGGTTTTGGTGCCACAATCACAGCTTGAAATGTTGTGATGTCTAGCTAAATAAAACAACAAAAAACTGTTTTGGTGGTGCAGTCGCTGCCAGAACAACCGTGCTAAAAATGCAACTGTTTGCAATGTGTTTGTTGAATCACCTCCATCTCCCATTGACAAAGTCAGTTCATATGCATATAATCAGAATGACGTCACTTTAGAGAGGTGGATATGATACGTATAAAATGTATTGATGTAACATATCTGTGGTTTCCAGAAACACACAATGCCAATATTTTCTTATGGAGACTGCTCAAGGGGGTGATTGATGTGTAGGAAAGGTCTGATTGATTTCGCACTGAACTGACAAGTTACAGCAGCAGAGAGGAGAAAGGTTTAAAAGTGAGACAGCAACGAAATGATTGCTTCATTGAGATCGAGAAAAAGAATGAATGAGAAGCATAAAAGTCCTCCTGAATGAACTTCGGCTAGGCTTCATGAGTAGTCTAGAAATCTCTGTCCGTGTGTGTGTGTGTGTGTGTGTGTGTGTGTGTGTGTCTTAACCCTTTCGACTACCAGCAGCGCAAGAACACTTGTTCTCTAAATGTGTACCACATATGAAACATCATGTGTTGTCAGACTGACACCAAGATGAATGATGATGAAAGACAACAGGTCTGAACCAGTCACCTGACCCACAACAGCCTCGACTGACTTGAACTTCTGGCAGTAGTAGTGGTCAGCATGGAGGTGGAGCAGGCAGCTGGTCTTTGACTCATCCAGTGTTCTCCTCACCCGGCTCACTGGTGCCTCCTGTAGGTGAAATCACAGGAAAAACAGATTTTAAAGGGGAGACAATCTGGGAGGCAGATTGAATCCTGGTGAATCATGTTCTTGCATCTCTCCTCAGATTGAGTGACTACTTGTCATTATTTTGAAGCTGCAAAACATGATGTCATAATAACTGGGATGCCGCAGGTCCCAGTGGGAGATGGGACGAGAACATTCCACTGGGAACAACATCTGTTTTGACCATTTCAAGATCAAACAGTGGAAATGATCTCCACCAGCAGGTATGTCGATATGAATGTATTCATACCAACGTGTCTCGACATCCATTGTTGATAATGAACGCTGGGGCCACCACCCAGTAGGTCAAAAATCAACAACAAATAGAGCACCCAAGGGAGAGATTAGCTAAATATGTCTGGCAGATGTTTATTCCATCATACCTGGTTTTGTAAACAGAGTGAAGGTCGTCTAGTTTGTTTGGATTCGCAGTAATCACTTTACATTGCAAATGTACTTAGGCCTGCAAAGATGCAGCTCATCTCTCAGCTTTCTATATCTTACACAGCATTTCTGTTACCGTCACATCATCCTGAACCCTGTAATTTGCTGCTGGTGACTCAACAGGCTAAATAAAAAGCAACCAAAATGAGCGAATGCGCTCATGAATAAGGTCAGTTATATTTACAGATGAATCAGACACAATTTCCTTCAAGAAATGTTTGTGGGTCAGGAGTTAATTGGCTATAAATGATAATGCGGAGGAGGACGTTTTGAGGGTGAGGGCAGAAAAAGAAAGAAAGCAAGGCAGAGTGTGCGTAGGTGTTTTTGTGTCAGCGTTTACTGAGGTGATGTCTGGACTGTCCTACCTCATTGGAGCTGAGGCTTTGGGAGAGGAGTTTTAGATGTTCTGCAGCACAGAATCCATCAGAGGCAGGTCTTATGGATGGGAGGACTGCAGAAAAACAAACAGTGATAAAGAAGTTAGTGGTGTAAGTGACTGTTCATTCATTCATTTTCCATAACTGCTTCTCCTGTTAGGGGTTCTGGGGAGGCAGAGGTTCACCCTGGACAGGTCACCAGACTATCACAGGACTGACACATAGAGACAGACAACCATTCACACCTTTCACATTCACACCTACGGACAATTTAGAGTTATCAATTAACCTGCATGCCTTTGGACTGTGGGAGGAAGCTGGAGTAGCTGGAGAAAACTGGACAGGGGTCACGTTAATTTCCAGGGCTGGTACCTGCAGTTATTCCACAGGCTAGTTAATAACATGTCGGGCAGGAAATCCAGAGTGTGGGATCATTTTGAGAAGGTGAAGGACGAACCCAAGGTGATATGTAAACTCATCTTCATTGGTCGACTACAAACATGACGTATCATCTGAAACGTGGAAGTAGCTACATGCCCATTAGCCACTTAGCACAATCATTACTGCTTTGCCGACAGCGTCATTAACAGGCGGCTCGCTCAGTGTGTGACAAGCACACAACCAAACATCCCAGAGGTTGTCACCCTCTCCTTCAATCAAACACACACAAAGATGGAGGCCAAAACACACACACAAGCAAACACTGTGTCTGTAATTTTACTCTTGAACATGTTCCGTAAATGACTGAACACATCAATGACTCACTTTAATGTGGGCGTACAGTGTCCCAAATAAAGCACTGCTCACCAATCACAATAAATAATTGAACTGAGATCAAACGTAAGTTTTGATTCAGCCCACGACTGTTTATTTGTTGGAGCGAACAAGACATTGTGAAAGATAAGTTCACAAAGTAAATGTGATGTGGACCAGTGCCACAGTCTGATCTCTGAACAAAAATTATTTGTTTGTGCTGAAGCCAGGATTCTAGCTGTACTGCATTGTGTTTGTGTTTGACCAGGAGCACTGATCGAGGGAGGGGATGCTGATTTAAACACTGGCAGTACAGATATAATCCAAGTCAAATCAATAAACAGATTTTAATTATTAGCAATTGTGTGTTATGTTTCTTTTCTGACATTACAAGGTCTCATAAACAGAGTAAGTCTAGTGAGTCATGTGATTTATCTTGTGTACTTAACAGCTGCTTGAGGTCAGAGTTATTGCTTTATGACCCCAGTTATAGAAAAGATGAAAGGTTTGTTTCCTGGAAGCTAGATTTATCACTTTTCGGATGTAAGAAGCAAAATTCCATGTAATTTATTCTTTACCCACTTTCCCATACTGAGCAGTCCTTTCCTGTGACAAAGGCCAACCAATGAGTTGTTGGAACAATGCCAAAATAAATCAAAGACATGCAGCTTGCAAGGAGGTCAAACATTTAAACTATGCTTCTTATACAGAACTATTTAAAATGATACGAGCAGAAATCCATTGGGCTTGACTCCTCAGTGACCAGAACGTCAAACAACATTAACAGAAGCATCGACATATTCTCAGACACTTTATAAATACAGGACCCATGTTTGGAAATCAGCGCTGCAGTCCTGAGTGGGAGCCACAGGGCAGCCTGTGGAAAATGCTGTGATAGCTGCTGGTTTGATTTCACTAAAATAACACTGTCGTATGAGATTTGCAACAGCTCTGGGACGGCTGCCTCGTTCAGATTGATGCAATGGTGATGGGATTGCAGTCCAGGGAGGCACTGCATTTGCAGAGACTGGCACGTCTTGTTGCATTGGCAAAGACACACAATTCCAAGAAAATGCATGGAGCCAAAAGGACATCATTGCAACAGAGTGGATGGGGTTTATGGTCAGGGACTGTGGGGCAATCTGCATATGAATATGGATGAAAGAATGTAATGTAAAGTACACTGCTGCGAGATGTTTCAGAATAATGTAAAGTAATGAAAACAATAGGTCTCAGTGGGATGCAGCACAAACCCTGCGGTTAAACCCTGATGGTAAAGGAAACAAACTATTCCAGCAACATTCATGTGGACAAAAACTGGGCTTTGAGTTCCCCAAAGTACAGTAGAGTCACATGACTTAATAATCACTCTCACATGTCCTACGCAGTAATATGAGTGACAGAATCAGGCAATGTTTTGCCCATAAACTGGTGACCCATAAGAACTTCAAGGAGATGTGCATGTGCATGTATGAGCGTGTGAAACACTCATTCACCAGTTCATCTCCCTGGATCAGACATGGACCTGCAGTGAGGGAGAGGAAACACATGATTGGATCACACCATCCTACGAAAGTCCTCCAGCCAATCACAAACCAGTGATTCGTTCTATACATGGTATGAGTGGGGGTGGGCTGCGGGGGTGGGGGTGGAGGTGGAGGCCTAAATGCCGGGCGTCGACCCACTGACGGAATTATTTCCAGACCTTTTTACTTGCCTGTGTTCTCACTGTCTCTCTCTAATTTTGTTCCTGTGTCTGTTCCTCTCCCATCACACTGTAGGAGAGACATGTTTCTGGCCTGTGTTGCCATAGTTGCAAACAGTAATTTATTATTTTACTCAGTTGCCAATTAAAAAGCAAAGAATCATGCTGCATAACTATTACAAACTATCAGTACAGGACTTGCCGGGAAAATGATTTCCCAAATGAAAAATCAGTGTCATATCTCAGTCCAGACTCACATTCCCTGCAGCAGCTGTGGGAAACCAGTTTTACTTTTAATAATAATGTAAGAAATTACACTGAAGCCTTGTGAATCCAGTCTTGAAATGAGTCTCTCTACACAATCACACATAAACACTCCATCTTCAATCTTTAACTCTTAAGTCAATCAATCAATCATTTGTTTATCGCATGGAATTATACAAGGTACAACTCCAGTGAAATGTGATCCCATCAGCTCCTTTTACTTGTGCACTGAAGTTTAGCCCTTTTTTGCAACTTCTGACATCGGTGGTTGCTGCTTTATAATTGTTCTGGATTGTTCTGGTAATCCATGCTTTCTGGTTGTGGAATGATTTCACTGTCCACACATCTCAACAAGATGGCTGCATGGTCACAGCGCCTGCAGTGATCCAAGCAAGACTGGGACAGCACCTCACATTCCCACCATCACACCAGTCTTTATTCATTGTAAAGCACAGGTGTCGTCTCCTTCTCTCATCAGAGTCCTCTGCTCTGTCAGATTGGCATAAAGAAAAAGAGTCCCCTGGCTGAATGGCGCTGTCCAGGATTTGGCCAAGTTTTCGATGAATGAAAGGATATTACAGCTCCTGATATCCTGTTGGAAACTGATGCTACAAGGAGTTTGTCCTGTTTATTTTCCAACTCCTGTACAATGGCTAGCAGGATGCTAGTTCAGCTGGTGTCCATTTCCTCTGTTTACTAATGTTTACATTTGAAAACGCTGACCTGGCTAGCGCCTGCTAGCTAGCTAGAAATCAGCAGAAGGAGAGTTCACAGACTGGCGAATTGATTTTCTCATCCCAATGAGTGACTCCCAGCCACAAACCACTACCGTCCAAGCCAACCACAAAAAGCACCAACAAGACTTTCAAAATAGACATAAAACAAGAAAGCCAGCATGGTGAGGAGGGGGTTTATCACCTCGCCTCGCGTTTGTCTGTGTAGCAGCCTGAATGAATACTCCATGAAGTATCGGATGACATGGTTTCATCAGTGTTATCATAGCTTTTTGATACACAATGGCTACCGTTGTTGCGATACGCGTTTGAAACAGTGAGGTGCTTAAGTGCGCTATCCATTTGAATGCAATTTATGATTTCAGCGTTAGATGGGAGAAATTCCTACACACTGTGGCTTTAAGGAGTTAATTTTCTTGGGTGCAGGCACAACACAGGCTGAGAAATGCATTAAGTGTTGAAATGCCCTTTCACTGACCGAAGATCTGTCTGTACAGCAGTGGTACATTTGCATTTTTGCCCTTATGTCCCTGTTCAAGTGCCCCATGAATGACCCTTTGGTCAGGCCAAGTGCCCTCAAGTGCCCCAATGGTTAGCTCAAGTGCAAAATAACCCTAAACCTAAATATAACACAAGACTGTGAAGGAGGTTTTTCCCCTTTGCCCACAAGAGAGTCTCAGGAACACATGTCCACTGCTTGGATTAAACCTCTGATCTATTTCACCACAAGGCCCAAGTGGTCTTACAAATAACACGAGTTGCACGCTTGGTGGGAGATTTTCTGCTTAGTCCAGCTTTTATGCCTCATGTATCCCAGATATCCCGTATCATCCTGTGTCCTCCCCATTTAGACAAGTGAGGAAACCTCTGTGGAGCTGAAACTGCTTTCCTCTTGATACTGTGTGGCTCTCTGTGGGGGAACAATCATGCTTTCTTGTGACTGTACCAGCTGTTACTTTCGCAGTAATGCAAAATACTGATAACCTTTAGCTATTGCTGCAACATAATAAGTTCAGTGTCCCAAAGAGATGTTCCATAAATCATCTATGTTTGTAAAATATAATTTGGCAATGAATCCTATGAAGAAAAATGTGTTTGAAGACTGATTTACATGATTGTTAAACTGAAGATTTGACAGATTTTTACATGTTGAGCCTTAATGAAAGTTTTAGTGAAGGTTTTCAAGTGACATACTGTTAACAAATATTGAAGGAAAATGCAAATGCGTCACATCAGAGAAAGCTTCACTAGAACTACTTCCTGGCTGTAAAATGACTTTCAGTTTGAGCAATTAATAGCCCTGGAGTTAAACATTAAAAGATTTCCAGTTATATTCTAAGTGGGTGTGTTACTCTTTATTTATTTGAAGGAAGTATGAGAATAATAAAACTAGGGTGCAAAACATACACAGACAAACACACACACACACACACGGACAGAGATTTCTAGACTACTCATAAGCCTAGCAGAAGTTCATTCAGGAGGACTTTTTATGCTTCTCATTCATTCTTTTTCTCTTCCAACTTATTCAGCTGACTAAGGACATTTACCAACCAGATTTTGTCACAATCTCAATGAAGCAATCATTTTGTTGCTGTCACACTTTTAAACCTTTCTCCTCTCTGCTGCTGTAACTTGTCAGTTTTGGGCGAAATCAATCAGACCTTTCCTACACATCAATCACCCCCTTGAGCAGTCTCCATAAGAAAATATTGGCATTGTGCGTTTCTGGAAACCACAGATATGTTACATCAATACATTTTATATGTATCATATCCACCTCTCTAAAGTGACGTCATTCTGATTATATGCATATGAACTAACTTTGTCAATGAGAGATGGAGGTGATTCAACAAACACATCGCAAACAGTTGTTCTGGCAGCGACTGCACCACCAAAACAGTTTTTTGTTGTTTTATTTAGCTAGACATCATGACATTTCAAGCTGTGATTGTGGCACCAAAACCAATTTTTTAAGGCCAAAACATGATCTTTTCCAACTGTTTTTGTGCCTAAACATAACCTCATGTTATCCGCCACATCAGTGGTTCCCAACTGGTGCATCACGGTCCATTGTGAATGGACCACAGCTGACTCGCAAACTTGTCAAGTTTGAAAAAAACACACTTTGTTTTGTAGTACAGTGAATTTCTGGCTGTTTCCTTCTGAAGAGTGAGTGAATAACAGTAGCTTCCTAGAAGTGACAGTCAACTACCTCGATGACATGGCCAAATGCAAGTATGATGCCAAATATATCAAATTGTGTGCAACTTGAACTGATGACTGAGGAGAAAGCTGGACCTCGTGGCTGGACCAGTTGGGAACCACTGCACTACATGATAACCTACAAATAAGGATGCATGATATTGGACATTTTGCCGATACCTGATATGCCGATATGTATACAGTAACCTATACTGATATTGATATTTCCACCTTTTCCCTTCCTAATTTTAGTGATCATCAAGTCTCTTCTGTAGTGGAATGAACATCATATTATGCATTCATACTCTTATCGTGACTAACCGATCTCTAACCAATGATAGTATTGATGATGTGCCAATATTATTGTGCATCACTGCCTACCAATGTTACATATCTGTGGTTGGCAGAAACATACAATGCCAACATACATTCTGGATTTGGCTACACCTCCAGTTTTTATTTCATCTAACACCCAGGGTTCCTCTCATCACACATCACATCCAGATCGTTAGGCATTTACCTTCATCTCGTTAGCACAACCACCATCACTACCACCAGTGTCCAGACTCCATCAGGGGATATTCCTCTGCTTATCATGGTATATGACGTTGTGATGGGGTTCTTCATACTATTAATATGTAAAATGATGCCTGTAACCTCTCAAAAGTGTTTGATTTTGAAGCAGAACAAGCAGGTGATGACTGTGATCAGGTGTTCTGATGTCATCACACTTTAATTGCTGCAAAATGACTGCCTTAGGCCACCCTCTGTGTCCCAGATTTGAGAGACCTCACAACATCTTACATCCCAAGGGAGAGAAAGATCCTTATTTAACCTTTGTTGCCCCCACGCCGACGACACCCACAGGAAGTGTAAATACACACAGGAGTAGACACATTATATCACCCCCCGGTAGTCCCAATTTAACACTTGTTGGGAAGCACTGATTGTTTATTGAACTATCGTGCGCCAAATCTTTTACAGTTTCCTGCAGATATGCAGGCCTGTGAATGAAAGAACAGGATGTTGTCAGCTGCAGCGTTATCTCATGAAAATGTTGCTACAGTCATGAAAGGGACTGGAGAAATGGCGGGAGGTGTAGGGAGGAAGGCAGCCATGGAGTCTCTGTAGACTTAAAGACAAACACAAGGGGGGTTTGGCACGATATGCACTGTTTCCAGGAAAATACTTTCTTGGAAATAATCTTATTCTAATGCAAACATGCACGCGCAGCCATGAAAACACGCAGATATAAATGCACATGCACATACACATTGACACATTACTTTTTGACAGCTCTCACTGATGACTGCCATCTGGACAAACCATAAGACAACACAAGAGTTTGTTTCCAGCGCCTTCAAACCCTGCAAGATACTCCACATGCTCCTTTTCTTCTCTCCTCTCCCTTTAGAAACTTATATCCTTCTCCTGCTGTTATACCCCTTTGTCGTCCTCCTCCTCCTCTTCTTTCATCTTCATACCTTCCTCCTTACTTTAGCCCCCCCATTTCTCCTCCCCCTCTTTCAAAAGTCACACCATCTTCGGTTTATCTTTTCTTTGGCCTGTGTCCAGGAAGGGTGCCAACACCCCCACAGAGCTCTGAAAAGGTTCTGCTGTTAGATTATAACCACACTCTTACTATGAGGTAAGTATAGTTCATCGACCTCTGGTAACCTTAGTTCGTAGTAGAGCTCGAGGCTGCAGATACTGTACAGATACTGTATGAAAACGAGGATTAGCAACAGGAGAAAGATGCATTTTGCTGTCGTTGTTTGTCTTTCTATGAGACTAGATGCCAAAGATGGCCATAAATCAAACTGTTGGGGGAAATCTACTGTAGAAAGGAATTTCTTGTCGTGCTCCTGCCATCATAACCAAATGGCCCGGAAAAGCAGCTGAGCGTATGAGGTGTTGTTCTGACAGTCTGCAGATGCACAACCTTCAGAATTTGATTTTTCATTCTGTTTCCAAAAGAAACTTTTTCTCAAGAAAGATTTTCTGAAAACTCTTTTTCCTGGAGTGAAAAACAGAAGGTAGTCTTACCCATGTCATCCTCATGGTAGATTATAGAGTGGTGATCTGTTTGGTTGCTGGTGTATCTATGTACTGGCTCTATGTGATAGGTCCCATTGTCTGTATGGATGGTTCCCTCGAACTGACCTTGTATGACCGAGCCATGGCAGGCTGAATTATATTCACCTGTAAGACCAGATCAAAAGTGATAACATGTCAAGGTCAGAGACATGAGCATGAACAGAGATAACTGAGGTATGGAGACAGACAGACAGACAGACAGAATAAACAGATAAGATAGTGAGAGAAACTTAAAGATTAAGGGCAGCGTTCAGACACAATTCAATACATTTTACTTTGTTCCTCAACTCTCAATAACCAGGAATGTTTTTCCACAAGCAGATTTTTATCCAAATGTTATATCCAAACCACAAAATCTATAAATGATTGTTGATGCACTTTGATGCCAGTACATTCACTCAGACTTGAATTGCAGGAAATCTGCACCCCTATTTGGGCCAGATGTCTTGGTCATACGCACCCTCTAGTGTTCCTGAATATATGTGGGAGAGGTCAGCTGACATGGAACCATTCTCACTGACCACCGTGAAGTTTTCGGAAAATGCTGCTGCATCGTGTTTCAAATGCAGACGGAAAGTTCTGCAGGAAACAGAAACACAAACTGCTCACAGATGTGGTCAAAGCATTGGTGGAAGGTATGCAGATCTATCAACAGCAGGCAAATATGGATGATCAATTGTTGACATGTGTTGTGTATTTAGAGGCCAATTAAGGGTGTGTTCAAACAGAGGACTACAGTATTTTTTAGCCAGTCTGTTTATGTTTAAGAAGGCTTTTGAAACAACTGCCACAGTTACAGAAATGTGAAGTTACCTGTTGAAAGCAGTTAAGTCCAGCTGCAGTGTGTTGTCCTGAGGCTGTGAGGCTCTTTTGGCTCTCAGGTGCTTTCTGTGAAGTTCTTCTCTGTCGTACGACAAGCCTTCATAATATTTTATATATGGACTGATGTCACTCACAGCACCTGGTGAAAAGGAGGACATTCAAGTCACTTCATAAAGCATCACAGCTCCAATGTTCAATTAGAGCTGAACATTCAATGTTTCTCATCTTCAATAAACCCATCATAAAATCAGCCTGTATGCAGATGACATATTGTTATACTTACAGGATTCATGCATGTTATTGTAAGAAATATTAATCTTAATCAATACTCCCTGAAGGGACTTGGTATTATTCAGCACAACACTAGCTCAGGTTTAAGTTGTGAGGTAACTAAAAACAGGTCTGGAAAAGATTATGGACAAAAAAAGCAGTGTATCCTCATATAACGGGTTGTATGATAACAAATTAGCAACCCAAGAATGGCGTTATCATGTTATGTACATAACATTAAGTTATGTAGGGTAGGTTTGGGCAAGTTAAGTTTCGTAGACTAGGTTTATGAAAGTAAAATTATAAAGGTAAAAAAATTTGGTTGGGTATCATCACGTTACATAATTAATGTAAAATTACGTAGGTTAGATTTAGGCAAGTAAAGTCAGGTTTAGGAAATGAAACATGGAGACCAACACAAATCTCCTGGGGGAAGTCCTATGTTTGTTTGACCCAACCACCTCCACATCAACTGTTTATGTGGACTTTCACTCTTTATACTACTTCCTTCTTTATTCCTGTCAGTGTATTGATCACAAGATCACAGCCTTCCTGATTAGGTGGGTTATACACAAGTTCCGGTACATTACTTTTGGGTATGAACAGTGCGTGAGATCAGCCTGAAAAAAGACATCTTGTTAAGATTTCCTACATTCTGTTCAACCTTTTATTTATTCATTCACTTATGTCTTTTCTTTTATTCTCAACAAGGTGTACTAAGAGTAAACTTAGAAACAGCACAGTAGAAAAATAATTATTTGTATGAGATACAACCATCGATGTGACTTTTACTGGGTTGTTTTTGTTGCACTTTATGTACGTCAATACTACATAGCTACTATTGGGGCTGAATGTTGTTATTTTGACAATAATTTTGGCAAAAAAAAAATCCATTTGCAGGGTTTTGTAAAATGTTTACAAAAAATGTTTTGATTTGATTATTGTTTGAGTTAATGAAAAAATATAAACCCTAATCTATACTGAAAAAAACATATTAATTGCAGCCTATGTTGCAGTCACATTTAAAGTGTTAATCCATGTGATTCTGCATCTCATTTAGTTACAGTTACGCTTAATACAATACGTTAAGATACGATACAATATACTTTATTGTCCCCATAAGGAAATTTGTCTTGGATTCAGGAGCTGCACAAGTATTGTTGCCTTACAAAAATATTCTAGCAGAAATGAAAATCATACACCATGAAAAAAAAAAAAAAAATAAATAAATAAATAATACTACACAGCCACTCATGTATTGCACATAACACCAGCACACAACAGGGCACCATAAGCAAAACGCAACACAACCCCTAAGCATCAAGCAACATTATTTAAAATCTCAATGAAGGTTGGCACAAATGAATTTTTAAAATGGTTCAGTTTAAATTTGGGCATCCTGTATTGTCTGCCTGAAGGTAAAAGCTTGTACTCATTGTGGAGAATGTGAGAAGAGTCTTGATGTTGATGGTACAAGTATAAAAGATTTATTGGTCTAAACTGATAATGACTCTACTACCGCTGCCACCGTCAGACCAAATTTGGTCTGCCCTGTATGACTGGTATCTGACCTATCATCCACTGAGTGTTGACTGTGAAAGTGCTGACTAACCAAAGAATGCTTTGGCTTGTGCTTTCCTGTACAAGGTGTTACTTTCGGTCGCCCCTCCTGAGTGAATCACATGTACTTAAACCCTAAATAAATGGGTATACCCCATTAATCACAACTTAGTGTCTCCATCACTGACATGTTTTGCATGAAGACTCCTATTTGCAGCATTCCTGAGAGAACAGGTTGAGACATGTCTGAGCCCAGGAGCGTCCGGTCCACCACAGCAGCCGATAACTGCATATTCATACAAACACAAGCACACCCACGCAGAGTGACAGTCACATATACACAAAGCTATACAACCCCACGTACTTATCCAGGGAGCAGACTGAGGAAACACCTCTCAATCAGGCACACACACAGTAATCTGCACACGCCACCAACACATTACCTGTAGTCCGCCCACGGCGGTCGACCAACAACAGCAGCAGCCAGTAGAGTTGAACCTCCATAGTCTCCTCATTGGTGTGTTTTTGCTTTCCTTCCCTTTCACTGTTTTGTCTTTTTCATCCTTCGTTGACAATTTTCTCTGTTTTTCATCCCTTCTGACTTTACCTCTCTCTTCACCAGCCTCGTACCTGTTGTCCTCTCACACTGGAATGTGACTAGTTGCAAAGTTCTAGCCAGAGGAGATGAACACTGACAGCAGGAGGCATATTCAGACTTGTTAGCAAGCATGCTATGAGTTTCTGCACAGTTCAAGAAGGGATTGGAAAAACAGTTAAAGGAGGATTACTTAGTGAAATAGTAAGAGTGGTGTGGTAAAGATGGAAAGTGATATGAGCATTCACAATAGTAGCTGTAACTTTAAGCTCCTTTGAACAGAGGAATAATCCGAAGTTAAACCCCCAGAAGTTACTCAGTGGCCAAATGTACAATACACTAGTTGTTATAAAAAAACCTAGTTGACTTCTGTAGCCATGCCAGCAACCCCCGTAAAGCTGTGCACACTTGTGCCTTGAGTTAAATGCTAATGTCAGCACGCCAATATGACAGTGCTAACATGCTGAGCAGCAACAATGTTAATCTTCTTAAACACTATAAACACACTGCAAGGACAGCAGCCAATGGCAAACTACGTACCTGTGTGGGAGGAAATAACTTTCCATAGCAGCAGACGGCAGTAGTCTGTATTCGTCATTCCAAAAGGGAAAATGGAAGAGTGACAGGATGGACTCAAGACACTAGTTAGCCAGTTAGCACATCAACAACACAACCCGTGCACCAGCAAATAATAAGACAAACACTTACAAACCATTTTTGCTAAAGAGCTCAGTGGCTAAAAACATAATCTTTACAGAATATAAAAAGTTTGTCTTGATCTTCCACCCTCTTGACTTGCTTTCCTCACCTCCGTTTTTCTTCTTGTACACTGCGATGAACTGTCAATCAAAGTGATTTCATTCAACGATGGTCCCTGCCGTCTCGGATGCTAATTCAACATGTTGAATTGTCAAAAAAGCTAACAAGGGCCGACTACCACCAACTGTGCAGGACAAACCACAAAAGCTAGGGCACAGGCACTCACTGGTTGCAGACCGTCAACTTAGGATTCATCCTCTAGGAACTTATAAAAGACGGTAGCAAATTTCATCATCACTTATTAAGATATTTCAGTCTGGACCAAAGTGGGGGACCACCCATCTGACTGACAGACATTTCTCTAGAGTCAAGGACTTGGTGGACTGGCATTTGTATGGTGCCTTTCTAGTCTTTCAAGCACTCAAAGCACTTCTACACTCACTTAGTTACTTACTCCTCCCTATCTCCTATGGGATATAAGGCTTCAATGAGCTCTTTCCATTGCATTCAGTCTTTGGCAGCGTGTTGCGCCTCTCCCCATGACAGGTTCATCTTTTCCAACTCCAGTGTCACAGTTGTGTGGCAGGTAGTTTTTGGCCTTCCAGGTTTTCTTTTGCCTGGTGATGTCCATCTTGAGGCGACTCTCGTGATCTGGCCCTGTTCCATTCTTAGTGCTTGGCCTAGCCATCTCAAACATATGTGTGACTTCCTTGGTGATGCACCGGCTACCTGATTTCTTGTACATTTGCAGGTTGGAGATTTTGTTTGGCCCAAAGATCTGGCATATTCGTCAGAGGCATCCATTGTGAAAGACTTCCACTCTCATTATGTCCGTTTTGACCACTCGCCAACTGCTGTTATACTTTTACACTGCATGCCACATTCACCCATTTACACACACTTTCACACACTGTTGGCCAAGAAACCACAGATGGTTCAGTATCTTGCCTTCAATTTCGAAATGAACTCAAGGAGCCAGGGATCGAAGTGCCAACCTTCCGATTAGCGGATGTCCTGCTGTACCTCCTGCGCCACAGCTGCCCATTGTGTGTGTGAACTCACATTAGTTCATCGCTAATAATAAATGCCAAATTTTGTACTTTGATTTAATTTCCCTATTTCCTGACAAAGGAAACGGCCTCCCACAGGTCTTATTATAAACTCTCGTGGGGTAGAGAAAGTTCTAAAATGGTTCCAAATATAAGAAGGAAGCAATCACTATATGACTCACACTGTGTCAGAGGTATTATGTGGACTCATTCTAAACAAAGAGACCGATTTAGGTAATTTTCAGGAACAATAACCTCTTGACAGGAAATAGGTCAACATATGACCTGAAAATGAGGTAAAGTAAAACAAAGGCTTTGCTACTTAAAATAGAAGCCGCCTTGATGTATATACTTCCGCCTGAATGAATAACAACAGTTTGCTGAGCATGAAAATAAAGAAGAAATATTACATAATTTCTCTTCATGTGTATAAGTGTGTTTCCATTTCAGAGTTAAGTAATCTTTGCTGTATTGCATAAGAAATGTACACATTTCCAGATTTGTGCTGAAGCAGTTCACTGGCCTCCAAATGTACAGTATATTTCAGACACAACCAAGATACTGTAGAGATAAAGTGTGCTTATAGTATCACCACAGCAAACTGTTAGTCAACAGGAGCCAAAATGACTCACTGACTTGCACCAAATCACTGCAGCCTATCCTGTAAAATGAGCAAAATCATAAATTACTCCAGCAGGTATCTGATAAATAGCTTCAAAAACTTTAATCCTGCTGCCAGTGCTGAGATAGGAGGCTTTGCAGGGATCGTTCGTAAAGATCAGGGATATCATGTGCTTGCAAGAACCATTAAAGCACTAAATCTCTTCCACTTGTAAATGTTTCCTGAGATCTGTCAAGGCTTGTCTCAGTGCTGTGTCCAAGAAGAAGCCAGAGGGTGCTTATAGAGTAGGACTATGTGCTGCAAGTAAATCATGTTGGAGACCATATAGCCATAAACCATTCTGACTGTATGAACACAGATTGAATTCATTAACTCAGTGAGCTCTGTTTGGTTTCTCGGGGTCTCTTGATCTTTAGCTCTAATGTTTTACAACTCATCTGTTGGGGAGACTCGATTCTGATCTTCATGCATGTGACATGACTGTCGTTAAGCAGATGACATAACATTCTTTATCTATAACAGTTCTCCTCATGTCTTTACTGGGTCACATCCAGCCACAGATGTCACACTTGGGTTGCTGCAGACAGGTTCTTGGCCTGAGACGCTACTACAGACAACATACTACACCAGCGTCTCGCTCCCTCAGGTCAATGTTTAACAGCCTGGTTTAGCGCTTAACCTCCCCCGTCCCTTAATCATCCGCTGACTGACCCCCCCCAGAAAACTCCTGCTTTGCACCGATTGGCTGGGAAGGGATCACCCGGAGCTGAGCTATGACATCACAGATTCAGACACACCCACGAGTGTAGGCTTGCGCAAAATGCAAACTCACACACATTCCCATATTGAGGTTGTCTACTTGCAACTTGACACCGTCATGTATCCCTCATGTTGTTCTGGTCTAGTGAGTCCCAGTGTAGACAGCTTAAAGTATTTTAATGAGTAATAATATTTTTGGAACTACATACCAATAAGTTAAAAATGTAATAAAAAGTATCAGTTGTAAATTAAACACCTGCAGAACTTTTACTACTCCTGAAGAGCCCTTGTTAAACTTTTACGTCTCTTGTAAATAACTTTATATTGAAGTATGGAAAGGTCACCCTAGAACGTTGACTTTAGAAGGAAAGGTGACCTAAACACAAGCTTTTTCTTGCAAAATGTGGTTTGATCTCAGCATTTCCTGTCAGGCTCAAAGCCTCACCTTTGAAAAAGCTGTGATAACAGAACCTTGATACAGAGGAAGCATTTAAAAGTGAAATCTGTGGTTGTTTTCCAAGCATTACCCAAATGCTTGGATCTCAGTTTGTGGTACATAAATGGCAAATCCTTACATGTATGCAAGCAAATTCCGAAATGAAAAGGAATGATTTTCAGGCTGCACCTCTGTAACTGATCTTGTCAGTTCTGGGAAAGCGTCCACATATAGATGCTCTGCTCTGCATTTAAGATCCCTGTTTGTTCCCACTTTGTAGGATGTGAAGTTCTCATGAGATTTCCTCTCTGCCTGACTGAAATGTCTTCATGGGGGTTTCTGGTTTTCTTTGAGGCTAATTCAAATCAACACCACACATGACATTCAATCCGACCCCTCAAATGTCTCGGTATTTAGTGCCAGACAAAGGATCATGGGATAATTAGTGCAACTGCAGGCCCTTAGCAGGTTTCTTTGCTTCTCTGAGGGTTCATAGGCTATGGGAATTATCAAATCACATCATTCTGCTGACACAGCCAACTGGTAACCCCTTCATGGAGCTGACCCACTTCACAAAGGGCCACGGCTTTTCCTTTCTTCATGCCTGGGCACCGCACAATATCCACTCTGTGTCACACTTCATAATGAGTGCATTGTATTCAGGGCGTTGACATAAATCTGAGCTGAGCAGATGAGCAAACTGCCATCCATCTCTGTCTCGTTATCGATGCATATGATGCCTTCGCCTGCACTCTGACAGCTGAGACACTCGGACAACTGACTGCATGATTGTCTGTCATGCTAATCAGTCGGTTTCAAATCAAGTATAGTGTGCAGAGGGCACATACAGCTCCTGAATGTAAAATAGCTCCACCTTGCTGTTCCAGAAATAAAACAATGTTAATATAACAAAAGGTTTGAGAAAAATATCGAGAACACATTCTGGAAACCATCTACTGATTGTTGTTGCAGTTAACATTTGAAGGTTATTTGTCACAGTAAACCTCACACAGGTGCAACGTCTCAGCTCAGGAGGAGACAGGAAGTCCTCAGAAGAAGAAGAGTTTTACAGCAGTAGTCGGTCCACTTGCAATGCAATGCTTCCCTCTAGAGAAAGCTTTTAAAAATGAAGCATAAACACCATGGAGCTGCATGTTTTTTTTTTTCAATCCATATGCAGTTTTATGTCTTTTTTTCAGTGCTGTTTTTTGTGCACATGCTCACAAGGATTATCTTTTTAATGCTTTTGAAAAGGTTTTGTATTTGTCCAACAGGGTCAATTATACAGCAGTAATCTGCGTGGCAAGTTGAATGTACATTTGTAATGTTGAGTATTATAACTCCATAAAATTTGGTTCAGTTGTTATTACCTGACATGCTTAGGCCTCCGTACTCAATATGTGGAACGTTTGATACT